TTCAACATTCTCATTTTCTTTTTTTTTTTTTTTTTTGTGTTTTTCATTACACCTGGGCATTCACACATGTTGTCAACCTCAATTTTTTTAAAATAAAATTAAATAATATGTTATTTGATTTTGTTTAAATTCTAACCACTATAATAATTGAAAAATCAAGATTTAAGTATTTTTTTAAAATTAATTTTTCAACATATTTTTGATGCAATAACACTCATAAAAAACTTTAAAAACTATAATAAATCTATTAATAATAAAAAAAATCATTTTAAAAAATAAAATTAACCTAAAAATAAAAATTAACTCAGGCTTATATATTTTTTTATTAATTTTAAAGGTAAAAAAATATTTAATATGAATTTTTTTAATCAAATAAAACAATTTAACATAAATTTTGTTTATTTTGATAGTCTAAATAGGTGTGAATAATATGTTTCTTTTTTTATTGTTATAATTTGATGATTTTTTTTCAAACCTAAATTTTGTTTATTTTGATAGTCTAAATATGTGTGAATAATATGTTTTTTTTTTATCGTTATAATTTGATGATTTTTTTTTAAATAAGATTTAAAAATAATAAAAATTGAATTTAAAAAATATTTTGATATTAAAATCGTATAATTTGCGTAAATTGAAAGTGAGTACACTTGGATACAATCGAGTCGCTAGCCGTACTCTTCATTAAATATCGTCAGACTCCTCAAATTATTTGTTCTTTGCTCAGGAAAAGTCTCTGCATCGATCATCGCTTGATCATGCGATCCAAGATATACTGTGATGCAAGAAATATGGTGTCATTCAAATCTCTAATTTCGAAATGACTCTTCACCGTTTCAGACGAGTATTATCAAGAGGTAGACTCTCCGGTCTCCACATTTCTACGAATGGCCATTACATTTCAAGGGATAATCGCAAGAGTACTTCCCAAGATCGTATCATTGAACAACTAGAATTCTTACAAGCTCGGCTTGGAATTGTCTTATATCTCCAAAAGAGTCCTGGACTTCTATAATTAGTGATCATGATAAAGAAGAACTTAGAGGATAGCAGTCCTCAAGACCCAGGTATGAATGATCATATATCACCATTGATCATTATAAAGATCATATTAAGATTTGGAGAGGAATCTGTCGCCTGAGCAAGAGTCACAACTGTGTGATTATTGTAATTACTCTAGCCATCTCTATATATATAAATGTGTATTTGTGGGGTCTGTGTGCATGTTCTTCGTGCAAAGCTTGGTTTCTCTCGTCATGTGTTGTGCCACAAAGTCTACACTTTTCAATTCCTTGTATGTGTTCTCCATACAATGCTTTATCTATTTCTGAGACTTGCACGTTGCATCCACATGCAGGATTGAAGGCGTTTTCTGTGGATTTTCAAGAAGCAACGCCATCTCGTATCAGTTGTTTAAAGAGATTGATTGGTTTGATTTTCATTGTTAATTTAATCTTCTCTGAAATTAGTTAAGACAGAGAAGTTAATCTGAATATTCATATTAATATTAATAAAAAAAAATTACAAAAAAATCAGAGAGAGTCACTGTTTCGCGGGCATCTTAATCGTGACCCGTCTATTCAATTTGTACGAGATAAACAGTTGAAGGTAGCTAAAACAAATTGAAGGCAGTAGAAAAAAAGTGAGGAGGAAATGCCGCCAATTGTAGTAGTGAGGCCCCTCGATCTTATCAGTGATCCTCGACTGATATGCCTTCAGTGGTGATGGCAGCCCATAAAGCTGACCTAATGTTTTAGCTATAGTTTTTGCAAGAGGAGATATAAATATTTATAATAGTAGTTTTTGTATTTTATTTGAAATTATATTGAAATAGCATTTTTTAAAAAAAATTAATATTATTATACTAAGACAATTTAAAAATATAAAGAAATTATTTTTTTCAAAATCTTTTTTGAAATACAAAAATAAATAGGCTTTTAAAAAATAAATCCACACACAAATATAATATTCACAAATCCAAAAGCATTTTTTGTAAATAAAACATGGTTGAATTGAATATCACTATGATTGATATAAATGTAGAGTAGGTACAATTTTTTTAATTTGTCAATACTTCAAGATTCAGTTTATTTTTAATCAATCTTAAGCAAATTATTTGCATCTAGTAGTGAATTAAGTGGAATTCTCCTTTTGTGGCCATTTTAGATTTGAAATGTGAATGGATCACATGTTTGTGTTTAAAAAAATTTCAATTTTCAAGAAATAGAAATTTATATAAAACAAATAAAAAACTTTTATTGTTATTAAATGAGCAAGAAAATTGTTTTCTTATATCCGTGTTTTTTTTAATTCTCTATTTCTCTAAAAAAATGGAATAAATCTTTTATTTTATTTTTTAAATCCTACATTACATAAACACACACCATCGGTGTCGTTTTTTTATCTAATATTTTATGGTATATTATTTAAATTAAAAAAACATATTTTGTATCCTCAAATAACCATAATCATCAAGTGTATAAGAAATAAATAATTTCCTCCAAGATGTAGCATGATTTGAAGAGGCATTGATAAGTTAATAACATCACTAACAAGAGGAAAATCTTCAATGATTGTAATTCGATCTTCATTATTGGTATCAAATTTCCTCTTCTCTAATCTCAATTCTTTTTCTACTCTCTCTCATTAGTAATTTCTTTTTTAATTAATGTAAATAATTAAATTAGTTGACTAACTTCATAAATTTTAAAGTTAACGATTATATAAATTTTTAATAATTTTAAAATTTTTAAAATTCAATAATTTTTTAAAAATAAATTTAAAATTTAATCAATTAAACTATATCATAAAAAAATTTCTTCAAACTTGTTAAAGTGATGTTTCATTTTGATAACTTAGTAACATCATCTGCCTTATGTATATAACTTCTTATTTTCATTTTTTAAGGCACACAATGATTCAAGCCAAAGCCATAAACTTTGGGCTGGTATTTCTCCAATAACATGGTTCAAGACATTATCATCAATCCACTGCCTAATGTACCCACACACTTGTCAATATAGCAAGGGCCATTCGTCATCAATTTTACCTTTGGGTTTGCCAGCAGAAAATATCGACTCATGATAACCTTTCATATATATATATATATATATATATATGAATTAATCCATTTTCACCTTCTATATTTGATTATTCAAACCATTAATTTAATCAATCTACTTGTATTAATCTCAATCAATTACATAACATAACCCAAATCAAATTAAATTTAAAGCTATGATATAACTTGATAGACAAAAAAATATTCAAAAATTAAAATAATAAATCAATACTAAAATTTTTACATAAAAATACTAAAAAAAATTTATAAACCATAATTCACACAAAGATTTTCATTATCGACAATAATAATTGATGGTTAATGTTTTTCTTAGTTAGAACTAAGAGTTACAGCACACATCATCAAAAATAATATATTCTAAGAATTCATCAAAATTTAAAAAGAAAAGAAGAAAGAATAGAGAAAAAGTCTCACAAAACTAGCAACCACTTTATAAGAACAAACTTATTTAAAATACTTTCCATCTTTAATCCAATCATCCAAAATAAAAAGATATATGTCTGGAATCTTTAGTTAATAATTCATCTAGATCTAACGGTGAATCAACTTCCAATCAAAGCTTGAACGAACACTGTTCGATCTGCCTCAATTTTATTTTTTTTTCTCATAGGCTCTCTCTTTTCCTTTTGCCTTTAATTTTGTTTCAACCGACACTAATATTTCCTTTTCGACCAACCTGTCCTCTTTATTTGTATTTCCTCTTTATATGTGACGGGGCCACCCAATAAACCTCTCATCTTCAACAATTGTCATTCTGTATTTACCATCCAAAGAGAGGAACCATATATAAATTTTATTTTTTCACATTAGTTACCATATAAATGACCAAAAAAAAAAACAGAGTAAAAGCTTAAGAAACACTTTCAGGGGAATATCAAATATTGATTATGTTTTGAGGGTTGGAATTAGCTTATATAAAAATAATAAATACTTGAAACCTGATTCAGTTGAGTTTGAATATCTAAAATTTATTGGATATATTTAATAATTTTGAATTCAAGTTAGAATAATGCCAAACAACCCAACTATGGGTATCCATGGTTATCACTACTAAAAACTATAGTTAACCAAAGGAATTCATTAAAAATGCCAAATTCTATCCAAATCCATGCTACCCAAAAGTTCTATAATTACATGTTCTTATGATTCCATTTCTATTTTTCTATTTTTACGTCTTTAAATGCTCCTTTTAGATTCCATTGGTTTAGAGTTAAATATTAAAGGCTAAATACTAAGAAGTTAAGTGTTAAGAAAATGATTAAGAAGTGAAATATTAAGGATGTTTGATAAGTATGTAAAAACTAATTATAATGATAGGAACCAATAATTTTTAAACTAATTTAAAATAAATACAGTGAAACACAATAACAAAAATCTAACTATTTTTGAATAAGCAAAAGGATTGTTTGGTATTGTATTATTTTTTATTTTTTTACCCAATCACGTAGAAAATATTTGATTATTTGGTTAGCCAAATAACTTATACCTTTTTACATTATATCCATATATAATTATATTTTAAATCTTAATTATATAAAAAATAAAATAATATGCTTTTATTAACAAAAACATGCTTTTTATTTATTTTATATGTAAACAATCCTTTCATAACATTCTTAATCAAATAAATATTTTTTTTAAAAAGTAAATTCATATTTAAAAATATATTTTTAAAACTTACGTGGCCCATGTAAATATCCACAGCCCAAAACCACCAAATATGGATCAACAACCGGATTGGACCCAAAAAACTCCTTCCTTGATACTCTCCAACTGCTAAACCTCTGAAAACTTCCTATAACACTACTTTAAAGTTTAACCTTGTCGTGTCTTTTCTGTTCTTTTTTTTTTCTTCAGTCATTCTTTGGGTCAAGAATCATTTCTATTTTCATATCAAGATAAAACCCTTTTAAGGGTTTAGTCCAAAGTAGAATTTTGTTTGGTTAATTAGGCTAAACTTGAACATGAACGGAGAGGAGTTGACAGAGCAAGAAACTGCTTTGTATGATCGCCAAATTAGGGTTTGGGGTGCTGATGCTCAACGAAGGTAAAACCCCTTTAAGTTTCAGTTCTTAATTTGATTTGGAACTCGCTCTTTTAAGTAACCTTTTTTTGTGTTTTTTAATTTATTTTTTTAGACTAAGCAAATCCCACATATTGGTTTATGGAATGAAGGGCACTATTGCTGAGGTATTTGCTACTGCAACCTTAAAACTCACCAAAAATGTGTCCTTTTTTATGTTGATAAGGTCGGACTTCGTGTTTTTTTATGTGGTTAGTTTTGCAAGAACATTGTTTTGGCTGGAGTTGGAAGTCTGACACTAGTGGATGACAGGGCTGTGTCTGAAGAAGCGTTGTCTGCTAATTTTTTGATACCCCCTGATGAAAGTGTTTGCAGTGGGAAAACCCTTGCTGAGCTTTGCTGTGATTCTTTGAGAGAATTTAACCCCATGGTTCGTGTTTCGGTTGAAAAAGGTTTTGTTTGTCTATCCCATATTTTTTTTTTCTTATGACTGATAATGCTTAATTTTGGTACCGAGTCTATTAATTTAGTGATTGGAATTGGGTGTGTTTGCTAATTTTATTAATCCAAGAATTTTGTATACGTGCAACTAATTTGAAATTATCCAATGGAATACTGAAATTGCAGGTGATTTGGCAAGCTTGGGTGCGGAATTCTTTGAGAAGTTTGATGTTGTAGTTATCAGTTGCTGCTCGCTAGCCTCCAAAGTACTGGACAATTGTTTGTTGTTAATTAATTTGTGTAGATAATTCTGCTTTCTGGTAGGATTTTTTTCTTCTTTGTAATTTAATGAAGTATTTATTTTACACTCTTAATGCAGAAATTAATCAATGAAAAGTGCCGGAAGTTATCAAAGCGTGTATCTTTTTATGCAGTTGACTGTAGAGATTGTTGTGGTGAGATCTTTGTTGATTTGCAGAAGTACAATTATGCAAAGGTAACATCTTTTCTACTTACATTTTCACAGGCTGTCTTCTTTCATGGATTCCTGTTATGACTCAAAATATTGGGTCCAAAATTTTTCTTTTTTCTTCTAAAAACATTGTCCTGGATGGAAAGTTCAAAAATTACACTACCAAAGCTTGAATCAGTTTTGTTCTGAGTGGTGGATTGTTTATTTCTTGTTTTAGCTCATCCTAATGCATGATTTCATCTGTTGATGTCATGCTTTCTTTGGATGTTTGATGTGCTGTTATAATGATGATGATACCACATAACATGTAATTATACTATAATTGCACTGTGTCGATCAGAGTGCATATTGACATTTCCATCTACCTTGATTCCGAAAGCCTTGGTGACAAGAAGTGGATGGAGAACTGAGCACTAACCTTTTTGACATTTATAGTATGAAGTTGCAACTCACATGAGATGCCAAATTGTTTATCTTTTTAATCATCCTCAAATACCATGCTTTTGTTGATCGGAGGCACTGGTTTTTTTTTCTGTTTCTTGTTATTGACAGAAAAAGACAGATGGAGCTACTGAATGTGAACTGCAATATCCAAGTTTTCAGGTATTGCTAAGTTCACGAAGTTCTTCCCCCATTAATTTGAGTTCATTTCAATAGCCTTGTAAATATAGCCAAATGTGTGGTCTGATCCAACCTCGTTCCTTCATAATGCCTGGCAAGTGCATTAATGTACATTCGATCAAGAACTCTAGAAATGTGGTAAAATTTTAACTTCCTGGAAAACATGAACTTTTTTTAACATTATTGTTTTGCTTAAGGGATGGCATGTATTAAATTAAGTGGGCCATATAGCCTGGTCTGTAGTCTTACCTGAGAATTGGCGAGAGTAGTAGCAAACTGATCCATTCTATCTGCAAATGTATGCTGGTTAGGCAACACCTTCAGGGAATGAACCAAGTGACGAACTATAGGAATCTGCTTGGACTAATATATGATGTAACTAAGGAAATAGCTTTGCGGCATTCATTTAGGATGGCTACGTAACTTATGTTTAATTAGCATGAGTTTGAAATCAAAGTCTCGGCTGATTTTGATTGACAGAAACAATAAAATTATATATGTACTTAGGTGCCCATTTTACTGACAAATTGTGCAATTGATCCATTCATTGCAGGAAGCTATTTCAGTGCCTTGGAGATCACTTCCCCGGAAAGTCTCAAAGCTTTATTTTGCTATGAGAGGTCTGGTTAAATATTCAGTTCTTTTTGTTTAGAAGGAAAAGATTGAAAATAAAAAAGGTGGTCCAAACTGCTGGGAAACTGTTCACAACTCCACATGCACACATTGCCTGATATAAGATTGAGGAATACGTGATGGACCTTTCTGTTCTTGTGTTACAAGGCTGAGTTGATTCTTAATTACCACCTAATTCATGCATCTTCATGCTAAAGTGCATGATTGCTGATTTCTCTTTTTTGGAATTGGGAAATCTAATGAGCGTTTTGTCCATGTTGTGATGAAAAAACTGAAGTTCTGTTTCCTTTGTACTTGATGAGTTGGGTTTTAAATACATTTATGAGCAGTTGTTTTAAACTGTCTACATCTGTAGAAGAGATGACCTGTTTTATTCTCCTTTTGTAGTGATTGAAAGGTTTGAAGAGGCTGAAGGACGCAAGCCAGGAGAAATTTATATCGAGGACCTTCCTGCTGTTCTAAAGCTGAAAAAGGAACTTTGTGAGGCACAGGTACGTCTTTAGGAATCAGTTAATTGTGTTTACTTATTTGAAAATAGGAATCAGCTTCTAAATCTTGCCATCGCAATCCTTTTCAGTCAGTAAATGAATCTCACATTCCGGATACCCTCCTCGAAAGATTGGTTATGGGTGCAAAAGAGTTCCCTCCAGTTTGTGCCATTATTGGAGGAACACTTGGACAGGTGAATTTCTAATCTATTTATTGGCTGGTGTTCTTTTTAAATGTTCGATTACCTGGTTTAATGTGTGGCATTAAATACTTTAGGAGGTAATCAAAGCAATATCAAGCAAAGGGGATCCCCTCAAGAATTTCTTCTTCTTTGATGCTACGGATGGGAAAGGCATGATAGAGGACATATCAAACCCTAACCTGGAAAGCTGATCATGTTTAGAGAAGCTTTATGTACTAAAATTATGTGCTGGATGCAATAATGGGCATTCAATACTCTTAACTACCATGCAGGAGATTTCATAGTTAGCACTAGTGTTTTTCTTTCCCTGTATAAACTAATCTAATTCTGTAGCCCTAGAAAACTGGAGCTTGTTTTTTGATTTGTCTGTGTTTTTTTATTTTTTTTACTATACACTGTTGATAATGATTTGCAGGTGGTCTTCACCATAGATTGTTGCTAATCAAAACCATCGACTTCTAGCTGTTCATGCTCGAATATGCTCAACTAACCAATCTATGGCAGCAGCATGAGTGCTGTATATAGCTTGTTTGACATTGTGGATGAGTTAGCTTTTGTAGCTGTAGTTTTAAAATTACTTGTTAGAAGAAAAAAACATTTTTAGTTGTGTTAATACTGTTTTGAAATAAATTTTTCAATTCAGAATAAATGAAAGGAGGTTTTTAGGAATGAAAAATATATCTTTATGAATAAAAAGGAAGTTATTTAGTTTTTATAAAATTAAAATTTAAAATGTAATTATATATGTGATCACTTTAAAAATCACAAAATAGTTCTTTCTATGTGGTTAGACGTGCTACAGAAGCAATATGAATTAGCGTTTTAGGTCCTGCTTTTATATTTTAAAAAATTTTAATTTTTTATTTTAAATTAATTTTTAATTTTTAAATAATTTTGGTATATTAATATTAAAAATAAATTTTAAAAAAATAAAAAAAATAAATTTTTCAATAAAAAATATTTTAAAAAACAATTTCAATTACCAACATATGAGTTTGATTTTATAGCCCAACAAAATGGTTGCTTGTAATCGTTTGGACCTCTGGACAGCTTAACCTTGCCATTCTTTTACCCCAAAGCAATTATAGTGGTATGGAATTGCTAAACACGACATATTTTGATTCTAGTTAGGATTCAGCTGACTTTGGGCTGCAGTGGACGTTTGTATTCTCCACTCTTTTTTATCTATCTTTTTCTTGTTATTATTTAATTTGTTTTAAATATTCAATTCACCCTTTATTTTTTTAATTTTTTATGAATTTTTTTTTCAATCTCACCCCTTATTATTTGGTTTCATTTAATTTTTAATTTTTATATCAAATTTTATCAGTATTTTTTAAATTGTTTTTTTATTTTTTTAAATTAAATTTTATTTTTAATTTTATCCTTTAATATTTAATTTTAAATTATTTTTATATCAAATTTAATATGTCATTCTTTTAATTATTATTATTATTTATTTTTTATAGTCTCATGCTCATGACCGAGATCACAAATTTTGAAGTTTAATATAGGTTAACCTTAGTTTTTTTGTCTTTTTTTATTTTTTTATTTTATCTTCAATATTTTATTTATTGAGAATTGGTTATCATGTTTTTTTTAATTATTTTCTTCCTATAAAGTTATTCTAATTATGTGTTCATAGTCACAAGGTTCATGAGTTAACTCGAGTTGACTCAAGGTTTTTTGTTTATTATTTTTTTTATTAATTTTTTTCCATTCAATATTATATTATTTGATAACTGAACTTTATAATTTTATTTTGTATGCTTTTGAAGAGGTTATCCTAATTTTTTAACCAAGTCATAAATTTGATGTGCTGACTTGGATGAGCTCAAGTTATATTTTTTTAACTTTTTTTATGTTGTTAATTTTTTTATCATTTTATTTATTATCATTTTATTTTCTTATTTTTATTATTTAAGTTAGCCAATCTTATTAAATACAATTAAGCCAATGGCATGAATCTCATATATTTTTTTAGCTTTTTTAGGAACCTTTTTATAACCTTAATATTGTTTTTCTATGTTAAAAAAAATATATACTACTTCACGGTATAGTGTGACCCTATCTAGTTGTTATAAAATGTGGTAAGTGAGTTAGACTTGAAAATTAACTCAACTACTTGTTTAGTTTAAATTTTAAATAAAGTCATGTTAAAGTTATCTTGACATGCTTCAATTAATTTAGCGGGTCTAAAGATAAAATAGAATAACAAAAAAATAAAGAAGGCTAGTCATACATGTTTAAAAACAACCTGAATGACTAGTAAAAAATGGTTTAACTTTTTTTAAAAAAATCTTAAGATTACATCTTTTTCTTAAAAAAATAACATATTAAGATGACAATATATTAGATAAACCCAAGTCAATTTAGATTAACTCACTAATTTCATGATTTTATCTTTCCTTGCATTTTTTAGGCAACTTTCTAATGTAATTGAGCCTATAATGACAAGTGATTTTGAGACATCATGTATGGGTCTGCCACAACTAGATGAGGATCCGTCATGTATAAATTACATTGAAGATCTATCAAATATATTTATAGACTAATAAGACAGGTCAAGACCCAATAGAAAGTCCTGGTCATGCTAAGGTAGGACAACAACTTCAAATGGTCATAATTTTTTATCCGACCATTAGATCATGCTTAAATTTTTATAGAAGTTTTTGAATGGGACTTTCTCCATTGGACTATATTGTTACATGGACAATTGGATCTTTAGATATTAAGAATATCACCGAGGCCTCATGTTTTTTGTACTTTTTGTATTTTTTCTTTTTATTTTTGGAGTTCTTGTTTATTTTGGATTTTATACTTTTTTTATTTTTAATTTTATGTTTTTGTTTTTCAATTAAGGTAAGGTTTCTAATTTATTTAGGGTTTGTAAACCTTCTACCGAGGTAAATATTATTATCCTGATTTTGAAGGACAAGAAACTTGCAAATTTAGGATTCGTTCATTTAAAATATTTTATGTTTTTTGTTTATTTGTTGTTTTTAGTTTTTATTCACATCTCTTTCTTTTTTCTTTATCAAATCAGGGACTGAAATATTTAGGAAATAAATTTTGAATTAATATTAAATTTGTAAAAATTACAAGAACCATGGAGACAGAAAAAGAAAAGCATGTTGACTAAATTTTTTTAAGCAAATTTAAAATTAGACATGAGATTTGTTTTTATTTTATTCTTTGATCCTCTTTCATTAAATTATTTCTTTTATTAAAAAGTTTTCAAAATTTGATCGGGCATAGAAAGTGAAAATTGAGGATAATTAAAGAAAAACATTTTGGGTAGGGTGAATTTACACCAATTTATCTAAGCACATTTATTATATTTTCTAATAAGATATTTATTTAGGTACTCAGATTTAACCACATTATATATAAAAACTAAACCCTTTAATGAAGTTACCGTGCATCAAGACACAGATTACAATTAATTGTAATATAATTATGATTTTGCCTTTGCAAACAAAAGACACAATTGCTTTAACATATTATATGGGGTTATATTCGTTATTTTCTTTTTGTATACGGTTCAAAATTTTAGAGCAATCCTTTAATTTTTTTTTTATATTTAGTTTTAATCTTTTAATTATTATTTTTATTTGAAATAAGTTATAAAATTATAAATATTTTTTAATTTTACCTCTATTATTTTTTAATCTAAAAATAATTTATCAAATTACAATATTTTTTCCAGTGCCGCCCCTATCATTTTAAAATATATAGATAATTTATTAAATTATAAATATTTTTTAATTTCACCATTGTTATTTTTTAAGATGTAAATAATTTATCAAATTACAAATATTTTTTTAATTTCACTCCTTATTATTTTTTAATTTATAAATAATCTATTAAATTACAAATTTTTTTCAATCTTACCTTTGTGATTTTTTTATCTTTTAAATTTGGATCTTAATTTTTTTAATTGCTATTTATTTTGTTTGGGATCATTTTTTAATATTTATTTTTTTGTTTTGCAAGTTATTTTAGTATTATTTCCATGATCTTATCTTTCAAAATTAAATTTGTTGAGAGTTAAACTTTTTGATTGAATTCAAGTCCATGATTTCACAAGTTATTGATGTTAGAGATTAGATCAAGTTTATGAAGTTTATTCGGGTTTACTTAGTTTTTTCCCCTTATTTTTAAGTTGATCTTTTCTTCTTCTTCTTTTTTTGTGTTTTTTTTTTACAGTTTGATTATATTAAGTTAGCCCTCTATAATTTTTTTTCAATATCTCTATCATTTTTAATCTATAAATAATCTATCATATTAAAAATATTGTTTCATTAATTTGACCCTTTATGATTTTTTAATTTTTCAAAATTTGACATCAATCTTTTAATTGCTATTATTTTTGTTCGAAATCATTTTTAAAGTTTTTTTTTTCATTCAAATTTCATCATCCTTAGGTTTTTTTCCTCTCAAATTTTGTCCTTATTCTTTTTTCTACTATTGTTTTTTGAAAGTTTTTTATTTATATTTTTTAACAATTTCATTATTTAAAATTAGATTGTTTGACAGTTCAACTTCTTGATTTGAACTTATATCTAGAATTTAACGAGTTATAAGTTTTAGAAATTAGACTAAGTTTAGAAACTTCACTTGGATTTACTTTATTTATTTTTAAAGTTGATTTTTTTTTTAATTTTAGATTTGCTTTGTAATTTTCTATAGTTTACCTTCTCTTATGTTAAATTAGATTATTTGATAATTCAAAGGAGCTAAAGTTTGTTTTTTTATTTTTTATTGTTATTTTTGTATCAGTTTATTTATTATTATTATTATATTTTTTATATTATTTAAATTATTACTTGTACCAGGATTTGAATTTTTTTTATTATAATATTTTTTTACATCAAAATAAATTCACTTAGCCACCGGCGAAGCGATCATATGCATGGTATCAGAACCATGGAGGTCATAGTAGTGACAATACTTTATGCTAAAATAGTAAGCAAAAGGGGCGAAAGCGAAGTCAGGAATATTAAATTTATTTGGATGACGTTAGTGATTATGCCTTCCTGTAAAATAAAATATTAAATGTACAACGAATCTCATGGCGTAGTGGGGAAAACGGTCACCAACAATTCCATTATTTGAATTATCTAGATTGATAGTAATGGTCATCTCAAAGTAAGATACGTCAACCTGTTCAGCTCCAAAATCAAAATTCAAAAATCATGAGTCAGAACGTGGGTGGTTCTTATCCCTCTATAATCTGATCCAGTAAATCACGTTTAAATCAAAATCCACTAACTTAACCTCGTTACTGATTCAGAAAAATCACGTTTAAATCAAAATCCACTAACTTAACCTCGTTATTGATTCAGAAAACACCACAAAATACTCCAAGCCATGACGGAATGCGAAAAAGAAACAGACCCCACCATTGAAAGACCAGGTGAAGAAGGAAAAGAAATCATTGATAAATTGTACCGACAGTTGATGCATTTGGAACAAGAATGGGACTACATAAAACAATCAAAAACAAGAATCCTACGTAGAGCGTCAACA